GTAGACAAGAGAAAAAGCAAAAGTCATTTGCTCCTTAATTTTGGTTAACTAGGATACAGAACTAAGTTAATAATTCATTAATGCCATCAACTGCCAAGAGCTTAAAAATTTTAATTTGTCAGTTGCACCTACCTAATAAAACTTGTGAAGAGACCGTAACATAATATTTCACACAATGATGTGCTGAATATAATCTAATGTATTTGGCATACTTTGCAAATCAAATTAAACCTTGAAAAAAGATTTTCAAATTATATTCATGTTTTAAATATTTGGTTTAATGCGAATAATGCTAACTTATGGAATATTGCTAGAGGCATGCACAGCGAGGCAATGCAGATGGCAGAAAGAACACGTCAGCCGGGCCCTGGGGTCCAGTCCCAGATTTGGCCCTTGCGTAGCCTGACAAATCACTAAACCTCCCAGAGGCTTCATTCTCATCTATAAAATGGGCACAACGACACTTGCCTCACAGAAACGTGGAGGGGTAAAATGAGCTAATACATCCAAAATGTCTGCTGCAAAGTCCAGCCCTTGGTCAATCAATACCTGGTACCTATGAGTAGTATTCTGAATATCAGTGTTAAGTGCCAGTGTAGCACAGGCTTCTCACCGCTAAAAATCTGTAGTTGGCTTTTGACAGTGGTTGCAGAGGCTGTGTTCTGAGGCTAGAGGGTTTCGATGTCTTGGAATGGCAGGACTGACTTGCTTATTAACCTCTCCAACAGAAGCCTTCTGGTTATATTTAGTAATTCTCTGATCCATTAATTAATGAAGCCAATATTATTATAATTCTTTGATCTTCTAATTCATAGATCCACTATTGATATAACCGATTTTAAAAGTTGCAAAGGAATATTAAAGTATTTCATATTAAAGTACTTTAAAAGGGAAGCTGCCTAACTAGTCTGAACAGACAAGCAAAATTTCAAATGGGAAATACGAGCTACTCACTGGGTAATGCATAACAAAATAGACGATCCCAGATACACGGCACAACTATATTTTCATCTACATTTTACATGTTAAAAATCCCTGCGCTAACATGAAAATCAGCTGTGTGTGTATACAATGGATTGCTTGAACTCCAAACGACTCCCTGTCTTCTTGAAAACACATGTGAGCGAACCCCTGGCCTCCTAACCTTTGCCATGAACCCTGCTGTTGACCTCAGATTCAATGGAAAGAAAGAAGTGATTTTTTAGAACACAAATTCCTTCTGCTTATTAAGAAATACACACCACAGAACATTTAGAAACTAACTAAAAGTATTTAAAAATTCATAATCCTATTACTCAGGAAAAAACCCATGAATTACTTTTGCTATATAGTACTTCATTCCAGTCTTCTTTGCATAAGTTTTGTCTATTTAGTTGAAACGATATACTATATATAGTTTTATAGCCTGCATTTGACTCTGTAATGCATAAGCATTTTCCCTCTTGTACCAGTAACACAAACATTTTTAAAGACCACACAGCATTTAATCATATGGAGGCACCATCATCTTGGGCCATGCCCCTACTGCTTGCTGCTCCCTTATTGTTTCCCATCCAATTTTTCTCCATTGTGCACAGTGCTGCAATGAATTCCCTTATTCATCCATCATTTGTCTGTATTTACACTCACAACAGCAGTATCTAAGGGGTCTGTTCACTATATTCTGCTACCAGAGTATTGCCCCACTCCAACCGCAACTCTGAAAAACTCTTAAAAAATATCAAAGGAAAAGGAGAAAACAGAGTCTGGGGAGCTCACAGAGACTGAGGAAATCCTAAGACCCAAGGCAGTCTTCTCAAGGGAAAGAAGACCTGGGTAACTGGGGCAAGCAGGCCAACCTCAGGGACAGGAGAACAAGTGACAGCTCCCTCTCTACAGAATACCTATCCACAGGCCCAGCACATTACAGTGGCCCACAATGTCTCCCCATTTCAGGGAGCCTTGACCTTAGTTGTTAGTGAATTATTTCCATGAACCTGCAGTTCTCATCACTATGCTAATCAAGGCATATGAAGAATGATACAGTCAGTCAAAGCTTAGAGGTCATGATAACATTCTTTAGAGAAGTGGAGTATTATTGTGGAAAGGAATCAGAAAGATTATCTATGGCCCCACAGGTACTACGGCGGCCAGTGAGTGTTGACTGCAACCTAAAAACCAGGCAGCGGCTGCGGCAGCAGAAAGACACGTATTCTTCCCGCACAGGCTTTGAGCAGGACCCCCAGAGAGTACCTGCCCGCTTCTTGGTGGCACAGCCATCCCCAGCACTGGGCAGACAGCAAAAGCTGTACACCCAAACCTCAACATACTGAGTCAGCCCTGAGCATTAAAAAACTAACTCTGGGGGAGAAAATCACTTGATATTTAAAAATAAGAATGCAGGTCAGATGCAGTGGCTCACGCCTGTAATCTCAGCACTTTGGGAAGCCAAGGCAGGCGGATCACCTAAGGTCAAGAGTTCAAGACCAGCCTGGCCAACATGGTGAAACCCTGTGTCTACTAAAAATACAAAAAAATTAGCTGGGTGTGGTGGCATGTGCCTGTAGTCCCAGGTACTTGGGAAGCTGAGGCTGGAGAATTGCTTGAACTCAGGAGGCGGAGGTTGCAGAGAACCAATATCACACCACTGCACTCCAGCTTGGGCAACAGAGCAAGAACCTGTCTCAGAAACAAAAATAAGAATGTCATGTGTCCAGGCTACTTCAAGTCTATATGAGGATGGCAGGTCAAAATATTATGAAGTGATAATTGTGTGGCTACTTAAAACCAAAGGGGATTTGCCTAAAATCCATCTCGCCTAAAAGATGCCCCACTCCAACCACGACCACAGAGAGCCAGCTCTAAAGACAGACAGAGGTATGGGCACCAGTTTCCAAGCGCCCACATGGCAGCTCCCTCAAAGATGAGCACAGCCAGGGCAGCTGCTGCAAGCACACCCCTCCTGCAGGCACATCCCTCCCATGGCACACCCCTCCCATGGGCACGCCCCTCCTGCCCCTGTTTCCACTGTCCTCTAATTAGCTGCACAGAAAGTAGGGAGCCCAAAGTCCCTCCATTCAGGGATGCAGCCCACTCACCTGCTTTCTTGTGAATTGTTTTTTCTACTTCTTGGTGTGACCTTCTGGCAACTAAGCTTTGATTTACTTTCAGTTAGGAAAAGAATGTTTATAAAGAAACATCAGACGACTACGAAAAAATTTATTTTTCTGTGTAGTTATGAAATTCAAATGTCATTCTTAATCAAGAAAACAAAACTCTTGGGCATGCCCTGTTATTTTCTTCCCATAGTTTTCTAAAAATAAGGAAGTTTCAGAAGTCTGAAGTTTTATATAAAGCAGCACCTTCAAATGTACCCTTTCAGACACAGCAGTCATCAGATTTATTTGTGGAAAGCTGGGTAGGTCAAGAATACTTAGAATAATGCGGTTTATATTTAAAATACCTGAATCACTTTGTAACTCAGAAGGAAAAAAGGTTACTTAAAATGATTATTCAAAATGCAGACATCAGCCCAACAGGTGTAGCCATCTCACACGGAGCTGGTGATAACTACCTGGGACGACAAAGAAACTGATTTCTTCCCACAGATGTGTGGAAATGCATCCAAGTACTTGAGAAAAAAACTCAAAGATGCAACCTTAGACAGTCCTCCCTCCTGACTCCAAGGAAAATACACATTAACTGTGAAATAATTTGTTAAATTGAAATAACAATGAAAGGTAGTCCTTTTGTTGTTTTTGTTTTGAGATAGGGTCTTGCTCTGTCGCCCAGCTGGAGTACAGTGGTGCTCTCTGCAGCCTTGGCCTCCTGGGCTCAAGCAACCTCCTACCTCAGCCTCCTGAGTAGCTGGGACCACAGGCACTTGCCACCACACCCAGCTAATTTTTAAACCTTTTGTAGGGATGAGGTCTCACTATGTTGCCTAGATGGGTCTTGAACTCCTGGGCTCAGGTGATCCGACCGCCTCAGCCTTCCAAAGTGCTGGGATTACAGGCGTGTGCCACTGTGTCTAGCCAATGAAAGGTATTTTTAAAGGAACATCTAAATGTTGTAATCTCAAAAAACGTTTTTGCCAAAGGCATCTCACAGCCAAGACGAATTCTCTTTTCTACAGTTAGTCACGAGGAAGAGTGATTCTGGCTAAAGATGAACCATGCGCGAGTTCACGCAGACACAAGGGCGCCAGCTAGCAGGACAGAAATTGTTATGAGTGTTTTAGTTCTAAAATTGTCTAATTCCATTATCTTCTAAGAAGATAATGACAAAATTATTTAACACAAATATTGCTTCTTAATATCTCATTCCCAAGAGCCACAGGGACATGAAATGATGACTTAAATTTGCGAGAAATCTACTAGGGACAGAGCTCTGTAGCAGGTGATGTCTTTGCGGACAGCAGAGGAGATTCAAAAGGAACAGAGGGCTTTGCATGGGAGTGGCTTGCTGGGCAGCTAGAAGAGGGGAAAAGCTAGTGATAACATAGGATTCCGAGTTTCTGAAAGGAAGGCCCGCCACCTCTGCACCCCCAGTGCTTGGCTCAGAGCTTTGAATGTGGCATATGATCGAGTGCTGCTGTGCTGAACTGAATTATAGTATAAGTTAAGTACATATAAAGAAATAAGAGTTTTCAAAAACCAGCTAGGTAGAACAACCTCCAAAAGCGGCCCAAAGGACTGTAGTTCTTTCTCAAGCTCTCTCCATCCCAGAGAATCTTGATAAAAAACTGTTCTCAGTGGTTCATTTGGACTGTTCCTTGCTTGACTCAACCAGCATTTAATGATCACCTACAAAGGTACATCACTGGGCTATACAATTCACCAACTTCAAGCCCCAAAATACTATCACACTTCATGTGATTATGTTGACAGTGCTAAGACTGTTTTCTTGTTATTCTAAGTTTTGATTCTCTGTCAATATTAAAGAGCACAATGTGTTTGCTAGAGCAAGATTCTACCTTGAGACTAATTCTACTAAAGTTCCTGTGTCACTCAAATGCCCACCTTTGGTAGGTCCTTTCCTGTTAAGCACGGCTTGCTGTTCCTCAGTAATGTTCAGCCGCCGAACCACATCAGCTAGAGCTGATTTGAGCAGCTGGATGTCGTCTTCTTGCATCTGGACTCTCTGCTCCAGTGAAGCAATGCGGTCTGTCACCTCCATGCTACTTGCAGCAGAAGCGCTGTCATCTAAACCAAAGAAAGGATCAAGTGAGTTTCAAGTGTTCCCCGGAAATCAGATCGATAAACATACTCTATCTAGCACGTTGTTTTAAGCCCATTGTTTTAACATAATAACACTTACGGACTAAAGATACTGCTCTTATGCAGAAATCATGTGAAATCTTTAGCTGTGTGTAACTACAACTCTTCATTCTACAATGGTCTTTTCATTCTCTACATTTGCGCTCTTCATTTTAAAGTGTGGTTTTAATTGTCATTATACTTTTCGACATGCAGGCCAAATTGTTTTCAGCAATACTGCAGAACCTTAGCAGTGGGAAGTCTACTTCAACTTCCCACATATTGCAGAAACCCAGTCTGCATGGTCTTCCAGCTTGTGCTCCAGCTATGTTAACTGACAGGTAGGTCATACAATCACAAGGCCACCCTATCCATTGGTCAAGACTCTGAAGGATAAAGCAATATGAGTTTGACAAGCGACTCTTACAATTATGGTAATCATATTTTCTGACATAGAATCATAATTCCCAACTCCTTATCAGGGTCTGTAAAGCTCTCCATGATCTTCTTGCCTCTCCAATCTCATTTGACATCATTCTTCCCTTCACTTACTGTGCTCTCCAATCAGAGAACCCAGAGAGCACTTTGGGAGGCTGAGGTGGGCAAGCTGCTTGAGTTCAAGAGTTTGATACCAGTCTAGGCAACATGACAAAACTCTGCCTCTACAAAATACCAAAAAAAAAAAAAAAAAAAAATTAGCCACGTGTGGTGGTTATGTACCTGTAGTACCAGCTACTCAGGAGGCTGAGTTGGGACAGTTTCTTGGGGCCCAAGAGGTCAAGGCTGCAGTGAGCTGAGATTGTGCCACTGCACTCCAGCCTGGGTGACACAGCAAGACCCTGGGTGACAGGGTCGCCCAGGCCGGAGTGCAGTGGCGCAAAAACAAAACAAATGGCCAAAATAGCGCAAATTTAATGAACAGAAATATACAATTACAGGCCAGGTACAGTGGCTCATGTCTGTAATCCCAACACTTTGGGAGGTCAAGGCAAATGGATCACCTGAGGTCAGGTGTTCAAGACCAGTCTGGCCAACATGGTGAAACTCCATCTCTACTAAAAATTCAAAAATTAGCTAGGTATGGTAGTGCGCACCTATAGTACCAGCTACTTGGGAGGCTCAGGTGGGAGTCTCATCACTTGAACCAATGAGCCAAGACTGCACCACTGCATTCCAGCCTGGGCAACAGAGCAAGACTCTGTTTCAAAAAAAAAAAAAAAAAAAAAAAAAAGGGCCGGGCGCAGTGGCTCACGCCTGTAATCCCAGCACTTTGGGAGGCCGAGGCGGGCGGATCACGAGGTCAGGAGGTTGAGACCATCCTGGCTAACACGGTGAAACCCCGTCTCTACTAAAAATATAAAAAATTAGCTGGGTGTGGTGGCGGGCGCCTGTAGTCCCAGCTACTTGGGAGGCTGAGGCAGGAGAATGGCGTGAACCCGGGAGGCGGAGCTTGCAGTGAGCCAAGATTGTGCCACTGCACTCCAGCCTGGGCGACAGAGCGAGACTCCATCTCAAAAAAAAAAAAAAACAAAAAAAAACATACACACACACATATATATATACACACACACACAATTACAAAATACTAATCAAAGACTAAGCAAAATAAACGCAAAACAGCCCACCTCAAGGCACATTATAGTCAAACTGTTGAAAACCAAAGATAAAGAACAAACACCAAAAGCAGCAAGAGAAAAATGACATATTAAATACAAGAGAACTGCAGTCTGATTAACAGCTGACTTATCATCAACTATGGAGACCAGAAGAGAGCGGAACTACATCTTTAAAGTACGGGGTGAGAAAAAACTAAATCCAGAATTTTACATCCAGCAAAATATCTTCCAAAAAAGCAAGTAAAATAAAGACATTTTCAGAGGAACAAAACTAGAAAGAATTAATCACCAAAAGACCTGCACTGCAAGAAATGCTAATAAAAGTTCTTCAGGCTAAAGAGAAATTGTATAAGATACAAACTCAGACCCTAAGGAAAAAATGAAGAGCACTGGAAATGATAAATACCTGAATCAGTTCAAAGACTCATTTTTTTTCCTTTTTCCATTTTCCTTTTATGTTATCATGAAACCGTAAAATTTTTTTTTTTTTTTGACAGGGTCTTACTCAGTTGCCCAGGCTTGAGTACAGTGGTGTGATCACAGTCACTGCGGCCTCCATCTCCTAGGCTCAGGTGATCCTCCCACCTCAGCCTTTTGAGGATCTGGGACTACAGGCACACCCCACCATAATTGGCTAATTTTTAAATTTTTTATAGAGGCAGGGTCTCACTGTGTTGCCCCGGCTGGTCTTGAACCCCTGGTCTCAAGTGATCCTGCTTCGTCCCCCCAAAGTTCTGGGATTACAGGTGTTAGCCACTGCACCCAGCCTTGAACCTTCAAATTTCTAAAGACAGAAATTAAAATATTGTCTTATAGCGTTTATAATGTATTTTTATGTAATACATATGAGTACCATAACATAAAAGATGGGGTAAATATGGATCTGCAAGATTTCAATATTTTATATGAAGTATACATTATATGTGGTTTTTATTGATTTCAACTGACAAAAATTGTATATATTGTATATAACATGTTTTAAAATACACACATACATTGTGGAATGGCAAAATTGAGCTAACACATGTACTACGTCACATACTTATTTTTGTGGTGAGAACACTTAAAATCTACTCCCTTAGCAGTTCTCAAGAATACGTACATGTTATTAACTATAGTCATAATGTTGTACAATAGATCTCATGTAAGTAGTTATTATTAACTGTAAGGGGTTAGTATTAACCGTAGTGGAAAAGTCACAGATGTTTATTGCAATCCCTCATAAATGACTAAAGAATGCAAAGGAGTGTAGCTAAAAAGCCAACAGAAAATTTAAAATGAAATTCTATATTCAAATAATTCAAAAGAAGGAAGGAAAAGAGTAACAGAGGTACAAAAAAGAAAGACAAGTAAAAAATAAAATGCTAACCCCAAACCTAGTATAGCAATAATTATATTACATGTTACATTAAACCAGTAATTTCATTAAACATACCAATTAAAAGGCAGAAGAAGTCAGAATACATTTTTTTTTTAAAAAAAGCAAAACCCAACTATATGCTGTCTACAAGAGATACACTTTATTTTACTTTTTAAAAATCTTTTTAAATTTATTATTATTATACTTTACATTCTAGGGTACATGTGCACAATGTGCAGGTTTGCTACATATGTATACATGTGCCATGTTGGTGTACTGCACCCATCAACTTGTCATTTACATTAGGTATATCTCTCAATTCCATCCCTCCTGCCTCCCCCCACCCCATGACAGGCCCCGGTGTGTGATGCTCCCCACCCTGTGTCCAAGTGTTCTCATTGCTCAGTCCCCACCTATGAGTAAGAACATGCAGTGTTTGATTTTCTGTCCTTGCAATAGTTTGCTCAGAATGATGGTTTCTAGCTTCATCCATGTCCCCACAAAGGACATGAACTCATCCTTTTTTATGGCTGCACAGTATTCTATGGTGTGTATTTGCCACATTTTCTTAATCCAGTCTATCACTGATGGACATCTGGGGTGGTTTGAAGTCTTTGCTATTGTGCATAGTGCCACGATAAACATACGTGTGCATGTGTCTTTAATAGCAGCATGATTTATAATCCTTTGGGTATATACCCAGTAATGGGATGGCTGGGTCAAATGGTAATTCTAGTTTCAGATCCTTGAGGAATTGCCACACTGTCTTTCACAATGGTTGAACTAGTTTACAGTTCCACCAACAGTGTAAAAGTGTTCCTATTTCTCCACATCCTCTCCAGCACCTGTTGTTTCCTGACTTTTTAATGATTGCCATTCTAACTGGTGTGAGATGGTATCTCATTGTGGTTTTGATTTGCATTAAGAGATACATTTTAAATACAAAGATACAGATAGGTTGAAAGTATATGAACGGAAAAAATATATACCATGGAAACAATAAGCATAAAAAGGCTGGATGTAATATCAGATAGAATAGATGTCAAATAAAATGTATTACCAGAAATAAAAAGGGCCATTTCATAATGAAAAAAGGGTCAATTATCAGAAAAACAGAACAATCACAAACATATGTGCCTAATAGAGCTTTAAAATATATGAAGCAAAACTGACAGAATTAAAATTGGAAACAGACAATTCTATAATTTTTCCCAAAGATTTTAATGTCCCTCTCTCAGCAACTGATAGAACAACTAATTTAAAAAATCAGTAAAAGCTTGGGCGGCATAGCAAGATCTCATCTCTATAAAAAATTTAAGGCCGGGCGCGGCTGCTCAAGCCTGTAATCCCAGCACTTTGGGAGGTTGAGGTGGGCGGATCACGAGGTCAGGAGATTGAGACCATCCTGGCTAACACGGTGAAACCCTGTCTCTACCAAAACTACAAAAAATTAGCCAGGCATGGTGGTGGGCGCCTGTAGTCCCAGCTACTCAGGAGGATGAGGCAGGAGAATGGCGTGAACCTGGGAGGCGGAGCTTGCAGTGAGCCGAGATCGCACCACTGCACTCCAGCCTGGGCCACAGAGCAAGACTCTGTCTCAAAAAAAAAAAAAAAAAAAAAAAAAGAATTTAAAAACTGGTTGGGTGTGGTGGCACATGCCTGTAGTCCCAGCTACTTGGGAGGCTTAGATGGGAGGATCATTGAGCCCAGGAGATCAAGGCTACAGTGAACTATGATCATGCCACTGCACTGTAGCCTTGAAAACAGAATGAGATTCTACCTTAAAACAAACAAACAGGCCAGGTACAGTGGCTCACGCCTGTAATCCCAGCATTTTGGGAGGCTGAGATGGGCGGATCACGAGGTCAGGAGATCGAGACCATCCTGGCTAACACGGTGAAACCCTGTCTCTACTAAAAATACAAAAATTAGCTGGGCACGGTGGCGGGCACCTGTAGTCCTAGCTACAT